ACTCACCCCCCCCCCCCCCGACTCCCCGAGAGCTGAGTTAAAAACATTCTGTAATGAGAAGCCAAAAACTGATACCTTCCCTTCCTACTGGAAACTCACATGCTCAACAACTCTGTATTTACTGTTAATATATAAGGGCTGTCTGTCCAGTTTTAATCCATGTAGTATCTGTTCCGTGTTTTTGTTGAAGAGAAATATGTAATGCCAAATAAGGTTTAAGATTGTTTTTCCAGTTCTCTTATTAGTACCTTTATCAGCAATAACCATTGCCAGAAGATTCTCATCAAGTTAACTGGATAAGCTTTTTTCCATCAATCATACTTGTCTTTTAATTCTTTACAAATAACATCCAGTGTCAACTATTAACTTTTATTTGGTCTTAGATCGCTGTTAGCTAACAGGCCTTGATTGTCCCATTTGCCCTTTTACAATAAAGTATTTATTGCAAGACTTTTAGTTTTCTACCAGACCTCCGAGACTTTCCCAGGGCTCAAGTTATTTGCAAGTCTTTTTCAAAGATCTAGGTAGATCTCTTCTTCCAGAAGTCTTGAATGCAAGCTATCTGGGTCTGCTGATTTAAAAGCTCTGTCTCTGCCCACTTGATATCCTTGATTCGAATGTGATATAATGGCATTTATTTCCAAGATACGTTTATTGAGCACTTCTGCTTATTTTGATGTCAACCTCTTGTCCATTTTATGACTTCTCCTCCTTCTGCCACACAGTACTTCTCCCTTTTCTCATTCCTATCTGTCTTTATTTGTCCTCATAGCTAAAAAGAAAAGGTATCTGCAACTGGTGGACATACCATGTCTTACTGTCTGACTAGAATATGTGCACTGACTTGTACAGATTGCTGCCTCTTGACTACTGATAGGGAAAAGGCTTTTGATGCTACATGTAGCATAGACGCACATTGGTGTGAAGTTTAAGCCTTTAGTCTTCAAGACTAGTTCAGTGGCATTGCAGAGAAATCTAATACTGTATTGTCAAGAAAGCATTGATTTATTTTTTTTTCCCTAGGTTGATTACACAGTCTGACAGGTAGTGCTTTTATTATTCTTGTAGAGGTTGTCAGGAATAACACTATACCTAGTACCTCCTGTCAGGGTTTATCGATGGGCAGCATGCGTCATCTCCAGAATAAATCAAACACTTGGATCCAGACATGGAATTTAGCTGTGTCCCACTTAAGGCACTGAAAGCTGTGTGCCAAAGGTGGACTACCCATCTAAGCACACAGGTGCCTGTGGGAACCTAATTTTTGTACAAATCAAATCATTAAACACCTGTCTAAGACAATGAATGAATCTGAGACCAAATGTTACGTATGTCCAGAGCTGCTCCTGTCTTGGAAGGGCTTAACAAGTTGTCGTGACAGTCGTATTTGAGTCAGTTTGGGTTATGTTCAATTCTCACTGGTGTCCAATTTGATAGACATGTTTTGATTTATGCCTAATAAATGGGGATAGCACTGAGTGCATCATAAGTTATGGATTCAGTCAAAAGTCAGTGTGTGATAAAGGAGGCTAGTGTTTTCTTATATAAGAGACTTAGGCATTGGCATGGTGGCTTGGGAATAATGAGCTGGATTCAACTTAAACCTGGGGAAATTCAAGCCAGCTTAGTCTGGGAGTGTGTTGTGTTATAGCTTGGGGTATTGGAATGACTTCTCTCTCTGTGACACTGTAGACAGGAGCGCAAAATATTTGGAGCTGTAAGATCAAGAGATAGCACGAGAGCAAGCCTGGTTGTGGCTATCGTGGGAGGAGGGATGCCTTGATTCTAACCCCTGCTTCCAGGCTGTGCATTTATTTTGCATTAAACGGTCATTGGGTAATATCCTGGGAAGCTTACCATCAAACTTGCTAGCTTGATAGATGATCCCAGTAACTTTCATCAGCCCTCTGCCACCTGCAGAAGTGGTGGGAACTGACTGTAGCCTGGAGGATTTTTTGATGAGTGGGAAAGCTTTTAAAGTAAGGTAGGAATATAAAACTGTCCTCATTGCTTGGGAGACTAATTAGTCTGGCTATAAGCAGGTATAAATGACTTGGCATAAACGGTCATGAATTCTTAAGTAATCACGGGTTTCAAAGTCTTTTAACCTAGAGGGATTTCTTTTGCCAACTTTAATCTTTGCAGAGTATACCAGGAAAGTAAATGAAACCTCTAAAATAATTTCAGAATGCTTTTTTTTTTTCCAAGTTCATAGTTTTATAGTAGGACAACCTTCAGCATGGGAATAGCTAAATCATACTGTATATGTATAGCTGTACGAGAGGCTTATAGTGCTTTGTTAATGCATTTTTCTAGAAAATGTGAAGTCTTTGTTCTGTGTGAGTCTTCTTGCACTGGCAGCGCTATTAAAGATTTCAACCCACAGCAGATACACAACATCTGCCTTAGAGGGGCAAACAAGTAAAAGCAGTCAATTGGGTGGGATGGAGATAGTTTTAGAGAACACTTCTGAGTAGTAAACTGTAACAGCAGCTCTTTAAATTAACTAGTATATCTGCATTAGAAGTTTAGAAGCGTTTGTAGCGAGTTTCATTAGCCAGATGGTACCAAGGCAAAACTTTAAAAACCTGTAACGCTGTCAGGCTGTGTAACTTTAAAATTTTTCTTATTTATTTTCACCAGGCTACTGTAAGTACCAGCTAAGAGAGGCAGTTCTGCTTTAGAAATACTGTACAAGCTTATTCTCAGTTTAATCTTTATGTCTATGTTTGATGTTAAGCACTGTTTTCAGATGCAAACTGTGATTAACTTGTGGGAATTCTGAATGTACCATTCACCTCTAGTGAATTCTTTCCATCTGTCTTGCTGAGTACTGAGTCTGGCTGGGGTGGAGTTAAGACCAGTACACTAAACCAGTATAATTTAGTGATTTTTTTTTCTTAACAAAATGAAATACAATTTCAAAAGCAGCTTATTAGACTTGCAATACATATTTCCAGCATGGAAAAATGGTAATCTTCAGCTTTTCTAGGCTTAATTCTTCCATCCAGTCTTCGTATAGCACTAACGCAAAATATTGTAAAACACATTACTTATGACTTGTTAATGTAATTGAAAGGAATGCTTGGCTGAATCTTGCTTTCTGTTATGCTGTTACTTGACACTCATCAGAGTTGAAGTGGATCACTGCTTTCATGGGCCTCTTGCCTGGGTGGCTTTTTCTTGTCATCAGATTTCATGTAACTTTACAGTGTGTGCTAGTGAGGGCTTTTTCATAGTATAGTTATGAGGATTATAATTTTGTGTGCAGGCATTACCTTCCCCCCTCCCCCCCCAAGTTTTAGCTGCTGGTAAAGCTCTTAAAGGGCCACTGGTTATCAAAATGACACAGCTTTTAATTCTGGGTCTAATACATTTTAAAAGTAAAGAAATGTCAGATTGTGCAGAAGATTTTTTTTATTCCTTTGTCTCACTTGAACATTTCCTAGTAACTAGTTGTTCCTAAAATAAGTGTTACAGTAGTAGAAAAAGTGGGTTGGTGATTTAAAAAAAAACAAACAAAAACCAAAAAACCCCAAACACAACAAAAATAGTGTCCCTGTTCATAGATCTCAGTTTTTTTACCAGTTTCATATAAACAGGGACACTATATATGTAAGTTCTAAGGCAACTGTGCTTTTTTTTTCCTTTTTTCTTCCAGTAAGCATTTTGTCAGCAGTACCAGTCAAACTTAGACAAAGTCTTGGTTTACAATCAAAGTTAAAAGATTCAGGTTTGTTAGTTCCAAGGCTGTGATGTATCTTCTTTTAAAGTTCAGCCGCTAGAGGGGGTCTAAACCTACCCTCTGTATAAATAAGGCTTATACTGGCTGGCAAAACACATCTTCAGGTATACATGATTGCTGGAATGTTGTGGAAACATACTTTCTAAAGGTGTCTAGTTTCATAATCTTTTTTTCTTTTTAAAGTGAGGCTGTTTTTTAAAGGTAATTATTGAGAAATATTTATATAGTTTAACCATTTGAGTAACTTTTCTTTGCAGGTGATCTTGTGAATTAGCGTACCATCAATGATGGCAGAACATCCACCGTTACTGGATACCACTTCGATTATAAGTAGTGAAATCCCTCTTCTAACTTCCCCTATTGTTAGTGGGGATGGAGCACAACAGGTAAGGAAACTTCAGTATGTTTTTTTTTTTCCGTCTTCCAACAGCATCATTGACATATTGACACTGTAAAAGATAGTAAGCCTTCATCTGGAATATTTCTGTGCAGCTTTGGTCATGCATGTGTTTTAGAGATTGAGGTGAAGGTAGAACTGGTGCAGAGAAGAGATTTATAAGGAGTATAAAGCAGAAAACCTGTCTTGTGAAAGAACATCTTCATAGAAGGATGGGACCAAACAGCTGCTAAGCTGTCTAGCCATCCTTGAGTCTTCATTTGGAAGCTATATATTTACATTATCATGTGACCTTGTTAAGGTTAATAAACCTTCCCTTATGGTAGAGCTTACTAGCTCAAGCACAACATGCTAACAACTCTATGGCCTCTAGACTGACCCTTGCTTACAACTGGGTATCTTGAATGGTGGGACTTGCTTTTGTATGTTAGTGTCCGCCTGGATACTTCAAATTTTTTTTTGTTTGTTTTTTGGACAAAACCAGTCAAGGTGATAGAAAAACTTATGATTATGGCTTCGGAACACTGGAGAAAGGTCAGCTCCAGTGAGGAACAAGTGTTGGCAAAAACGTATGCATTCTCCATATTTTTAACCTAGGAAGAATATTTTAAGCCCCAGATAAGCACAGTTCTGGAGCAGCTTCCAATGGGAGAAAAGGAGTGAAAAATTAAGTGAAGTGGTTTGAAGTACCTGAATGGATTGAGAGATCACTGCCTGTGATAGCAAGAGACTGGACTTGATAATCTACAGAAGTCCCTTATAGTCTGCCATTCCCATGCTTGATCTTTATGCAGAAGAAATAATTATTTATCATAAAGAGGGATTAATTTGTAGGGTAAAAACCACAGAAAAGAGCTTTAAAATGAGACTGGAAAATGGATTGCAACAGTTCATGAGATAAGATTTGGGCTGCAGTGAGATCTTCACAATGTAGGGGAAGCTTAAATACAGAGAAAGAGCTGATAAATCTTTTTTAATGAACGTATGGACAGAACATTCCAGTAAAAGGGAAAAAACAATATCGAAACTTGCGTTCTCTTCCAAATACTGACATTTAGAAGTAGTAATCTGTAACATGCAAGAGGAGAACTGTTATTATTTCCTTACATGTTCTGCTTTGAAAAGTTCAATTTTAAGCCTTGCAAACAAAAAAGAATAAAGCATGCCTACGCAAAGTTAAACATACCACCACCATTTCTTTTCTTTACTCAATTGTGAATATTCTTTCTACTATTGTTTAAAAATTCTTATAGAACCCTTGAGGTTGGAAGGGACCTCTGGAGATGATGCAGTCGAGCTTTCCCCCACTCAAAGCAGGGTCAACTAGAGCAGGTCACCCAGGACCACGTCCAGTTCGCTTTTGTGTATCTCCGAGGATAAGGGACTCCACAGCCTCCCTGGCAGTCTGTTCCCCAATATTCAACCCACCTTCACAGTGAAATACTTTCTTACATTTTAGTGGAATTTCTGTATTTCAATTTGTGCCCATGGCCTTTTGTCCTTCCACTGGGCACCGCTGAGAAGTCTGGCTTGGTTTTGTTTATTCCCTCCACCTTCAGATATGCATGCACACTGATAATAAGATCTGCCCTGGTACATCTTTTCTCCAGGCTGAATGGTCCCAGCACTCTCAGCCTCTCCTCACATGTCAGATGCTCCAGTCCCTTCATCATCTTTGTGGCCCTTTGCTGGACTCCCTCCAGCATGCCAATGTCGTTCTTGTACTGGGGAGCCCAGGACTGGACCCAGATATTCAGATGTCTCACCAGTGGAAGGATCACCTCCCTTGACCTGCTGGCAGTGCTCTTCCTAATGCAACCCAGGATGCTGTTGGCCTTTTTTGACTCGAGGGTGCCTTGCTGACTTGCATCAACTTGTTGTCTGCCATTCCTTTTCTGAAAAGCTACTTTCCAGCCAGTCAGCCCTCAGTGTGTACTGGTGCATGTCATTATTCTTCCTCAGGTACAGGACTTTGCATTTCCCTGTGTTGAACTTCATGAGATTCCTGCTGGCCCATTTCTTCTGCTCGTCAAGGTCCTTCTGGATGGCAGTGCAGCCACCTAGTGCATCAACCACTCGTCCCAACTTTGTATCACTTGCAAACTTGTTGATGGTGCACTCTGTCCCATCATCCAGGTCTTTAAAGAAGATAGTAAACGTTATCTGCCCCAGTATCAACCACTGAGGTAGATGACTAGTGAATGGCCTCCTGCTGGACTTTGCACTGCTGATCACAACCCTTTGAGACTGGCAGTTCAGCCAGTTTTCAGTCCACCTCAGTGCCTATGTTCAGTCTGTACTTCATCAGTTTCTATGTGAGGCTGTTAGGCGAGGCAGTGTCAAAAGCCTTGCTAAAGTCGTGATAAACACTATCTACTGCTCTCCCCTCATTCACCAAGCTAGTAACTTCATTGTAGAAGGCCATCCAGGTTTGTCAGGTGTGATTTCCCCTTTGAGAATCCATACTGACTACTCCCAATCACCTTTTTATCTTTAAGGTGTTTGGAAATGGCTTCTAGGAAGATTTGCTCACGTATCTTCTCAGAGCTGAAGGTGACGTTGACTGGCCTGTAGCTCCCTGGATCCTCCTCCTTGCCCTTTTTTGAAGATTGCAGTGACATTTGCTTTCTTCCAGTCCTTGGGAACCTCCCCTAATCACCGTGACCTTTCAAAGATAGTTGAGACTGAGTTACTTGTTCTGCCTTCCCCAAAAATAAGACTATCAAGCTGTGCTGTCAAGCTTACTTTGTAATGGTGCAAAATTTTGAGTCGGATACAAGCTTAAATGTTTTTTTGGGATACTTTTTCATTAAAATGTTGTCTCTTTTAATCTTGCTTGGCAGAAAAAAACCTGGAAAACAAACAAAGAATTTCTTCAAAGAAATGAATTTGTGGGGGTTTCTGTCAATCTTAAGGGAAAAAACATCATATATGCTGTCGGTGTCCTTTTTTATTTAAAAAAAAATAAAGCTTCTCATTAAGAGTACTGTCTAAAGTGAAACTGATAGTAGTAGAGTTTATTTTAAAAAAGAAAAAAGAGTCTTCAGAAAGTATTGGGCAGATTCTGAGTCATCAATAAAGTCAGTTTCTTTCTTCATTTCATGATAAGCAGCAGTATACCACAATGTTTTCTACTGTTCTGTGTTCCACGATGTCTAGTGAAAGTTGTGACTTTCATTTTCTGTCCTTCCTTCACATCTGACAAATGACTCATGAAGAATCTACAAATGCATTTGTTTGGTGGCAGGAAAGTTCATTAGAAACCCTTTTTGCATCTGGTGATTTAAAAGCCATCACTAAGTAGAAAATACTTTGTATATCTGAAATATAGGAAATACAGAATTGCAGGTACTGTTTACTCTGTCAAGGTTGCCCAGTTAAGACTTAAGCCACAGAAAGGTCAGGCAGGCCATTATTTATTTAAAGGGTCTTAAAATTGTTATGATTGTTTTATATGGTACACTAATGAAAGTGGTGTATACTTTCAAATGAAGTGTGATGTATTGAAGTGCAACACATCATAATTCTGAGTCTTTTCCTTTTTTTTTGAAAAAATATTTTAACCAGAATAATAGTTCATTGTATTCCTTTTTTTCTCTTGTAACTTTGAAGCTCGAGAAGTGTGTAGACTTTTGCCTTCATGATGGAATTGCTCATTTTTCTGAAAGTCTCTTATTTGCTTAGCTACGGTACACACATTCTGTAGGGGTTACTTCCTTAAAATACGAAAACTACTTCTCCAGTTTCTTTTGTAACAGCATCATGGTGTTGGATTGCATAATCTATAACGTAATCTGTAGTGCTGACAGAACTTAATTGTGTTCCCACAATCAAAATTCAGAGCTGTTTTGTCTGTGTAAATAAATGTATATGTTCTTCTGTCTTCATAGTGTGTAGGTTGGACTGTAGCTATTCTAATTAGTTCTAGCCAGTCCTGACTGAAAAAGGTACTGAAAATCTACTAGAAAACTCTTTAAATATTTTGTTTATATTTTGGTATTTCCTATGTTAGACTAGTTAACCATATCCTAGAACTTGCAAGTTTTTGTTCAGTTGTGAAACATCTGAGGATTTTTTTAATCAATTCCCCTCTCCTTGCATCTTACCAGAATTAACTGTCATAATTACTGTGATTTAAGTTGTATATACTGTGTAACTGAGTTACCAAATGGATATAGACCATTCAGTACTCTTTTAGAACAGCTCATATCTTCAAGATAATCTATTTCAAATACTTGAAGTTCTGCTAGCAGTTTAAGTGTGAAATAGCAGTACAAATATTTGAACATGTTAAGGTGAAAGGTCATATGCTTCAAATAGTGGAAGTGTCTGATCAGGTTAAAGCTGTAACTTTCCACCATGTTTTAAAACAAAACAATCCACAAAGTTAGAGGAACGCGCGTGTTCAGGCAAAAAACATGGGGAGCTTAAACTGTGTGGATGTTCATATGCTACTCAGTGCTGCCATGGGAGACTGCCTCGTTCTGTGTCCCACAGAACAAGGGACTACTGTTAATTTTGTAGGACAAAACCGGGGAAAAGGAAAAGCAAAGACCAAGCCCGTTAGCTCCTCCCTCTCTATTAAGCACAGAAATACTGCTTTTGCACCTTCTCATCACTGTGTTCAATGTGAGTGGGTAACATTCTCTTTATATCTTGGTGGTGAGTAAGGTTGTGGATGAAGTATGGAGAGCATCCATAGGAGTTGATAGAAACCAAGTGACACTGAAAAAACATGGTATGAGGACAGAAGTGCTTGAGGGTTTTTCATGCAGTGAGGCTTTACTGATTATTGCTGAGGCTGGACAGGAAGGATGTGTTTGATTATGTGAGTCCTGATTTGGTGAGGGGAGGGAAATTCATGATTGAGAGGAAAATGAGGAGGCAAGAGTTCAAACTGCTTTCTTTAACAGATACTTTGTTTTTCCTGATATTAGGCTGATGTTAAATTGTTTTGGAAAGTGTCTACAGCACCTAGTGCTATTCCAA